GTTGTTGTTGTTGTGAAGTGCTGTCGAGTCGGTTCCGACACATAGCCACCCTGTATAGGGTTTTCTAGGAGCAGCTGGTGAAAACCCTATACAGGGTTGCTATGTGTCGGAACCGACTCGACAGCTCTTCACAACAACAATAACATAATTTAAGGAGCCCTGGCAGTGTAGTGGGTTATGAGCTGGGCTGCTAACTAAAAAGTCAGTCATTTGAAGACATAAACATTGGCATTTGGGAAAATTTGGCAAAATAAGGATTTATTTGTCTATAGTTAGGGAGTATAGTGGCAATTCTAAGTCACGACAGATCTGGTATAGGTTTAAATCTTAATGATATAAAATAAATCCTGTTCTGAGATAATATGTCCTTGTAGTCCCTGCTGAGATGCTTAGTATTTTATGAAGTCCATGGATCATCTAGACAAGACATTATTTTCTTTCATTCTTTCATATTCTCCTTATATTTACAGATCTAAGGGAAGTTGTGAGGTTGGCCTAGGATTGGGCAGTGTTTCGTTCTGCTGTGTATAAGGTCGCTATGGGTTGGTACCGACTAGATGGTACCTAACAACAACAACAAGGGAAGTTGCAGTTTATTTGAAATTTAGTGAAACAAATTGCTGTTAAATGTGTTACAATGCAGCAATAATTATAATACAGGAAAAAAAAATAAACTAGATTTGCTGTCTTTTTTTTTTCCAGGTTAAAAAATGCAGCACAGATTCTTGTCACATGCTTTTCCTTCAAACATGTACATTCAAAATTGCATTTCCTAGAAGAATATATGATGACCAAACAGAATCTGTAAATCATTGAACAGTATCATTAATATCACATGCAAGTAAAATTTTTCTGAGTACAATTAAAAATGGTGGCAACAGTACATTGACAGGGAACTCCCAGAAATTATCACTGTAGCCATCAGCTAGATCATAGCTGAAAGCAGAGAATATCAGAAAGATGCTTACTTGTGGTTCATTGACTATGCAAAGGCTTTCATCTGTGTGGATCATGACAAACTATGGATAACATTATGAAGAATGGGTATTCCATAATACTTAATTTTGCTCATAAGGAACCTGTACATAGACCAAGAAGCAGGCGTTTGAACAGGGGATACAGAAAGGTTTAAAATCAGGAAAGGTATGTGTCAGGGTTGTATCTTTTTACCATACTTATTAAATAAATCACATCATGATAAATGGAGAAAGGACTGAAGGTGTTGAAGATTTCATTTTGCTTGGATCCACAATCAAAACTAATGGAAGCAGCAGTAAAATCTGCTGCAAAAAAAAAAACACCACCAAAAAAACCCTCTTTAAAGTGTTAAAGAACAAAGGTATCAGTTTGAGGATTAAGGTGCACTTGACCTAAGCCATGATATTTTTAATTGTCTCATATGCATGTGAAAGTTGAACAATGAATAACAAAGACTGTAGAAGAATCTATGCATTTAAATTATGGTTACTGTTGTTGTTAAGTGCCCTTGAGACCCATAGTGACCCTGTATAGGATTCCAGAGGAGCAGCTGCTGAGCTTGAGCTTATAAAAGTGAAGTATGAGGGATAAAAAGGAAACCCTCCAGTGACATGGATTGTCACAGTGGCAGCAACAATGAGCCCAAACAACTGTGAGGATGGCCAGAACTGGACAGTGCTTCCTTATTGTGTACATAGTTGCTATGAGTAGGAACCCACTGGAAGGCACCTACCTACAACAGAGCAATACATAGCATTTAATGTTGTTATTAAGTGCCATCAAGTCAGTTCCAACTATAGTGATCCTGTACAGGGTTTCCAAGAAGCAGCTAGTGAGTTTGAACTGCCGACCTTGTGGTTCAAACTGACCTGTGGTCCAGTGCTTTATCCCACAGTGCCACACCAGGACTCCATATGACATAAAGTAGAGTTTTAAAGTTTCTTGAGTCAAGAATTGGTAAGAACTAATAGTAATAGATCTGGAAAGATTCTTATCTTTAGTGATTTGAGTTCCTTAGATATAAACACCATGTATGTTGTTAAGTGTCGTTGAGTTGATTCTGACTCATAGTGACCCTGTATAGGATTTTCAAGGAGCAGCTAGTATGTTTGAAGTGCCGACCTTGTGAGTTATGCAATAAATTGTGTCCGTTCCAATACATATTATAAATCCTAACCCTTATAAGTATCAAAAGCCAAACTCCACTCATAGTGTCCCTATAGAAGAGAGTAGAACTGCTTCATAGTGTTTCTAAGGCTGTCAATCTTTAAGGAAGCAAACTGCCACGTCTTACTTTCATGGTGCAGCTGGTTTTAGGTTAGCAGCTAAGTGTTTAACCACTGCACCACTACCAGGGTTCCTTCCTCACCCCTCTATCTGTGATTACAATTCTGTTTGAGAATGGCTTTTCTGTTTGTTAATCAGGCTGCATTAGTGTAGTGTGTGTTTTAAGTCAATCTCTTTTGGATAGAAAAGAGTGGATTAAGCAAGCAAGCATACACAAAGATGCATGTCACAATTGCTAAGGAACCTAGGACAGAAGTTGAAAACAGATAATGACTTTTCCCCCAGAGTGGACAGAGGCATCTTCTAGAGCTGGTGCCCTCAATTAGCCTATTGTGAAGTGCCATCGAGTCGGTTCTGACCCACAGCGACCCTGTATAGGGTTTCTGAGGAGCAGCTGGTGAGCTTGAACTGCCAACCTTGCAGTTCAAACGGCTTTGCAGTCTGGCGCATTAACCCACAGCGCCACACCAGGACTCCTATGAGCCTCCTGAATGATGAGAAAGTAAATTTTTAAAATACACTTGTGGTATTTGTTGTTATAGTGGTGGTGGTGGTTATGTGCCGTGGAGTCGATTCCGACTCATAGCGACCCTGTACAGGGTTTCCGAGGCTGTAAATCTTTACGGGAACAGAAAGCCTCATCTTTCTCCCGAGGAACAGCTAGTAGGTTCGAACTGCTGACCTTGAGGTTAGCAGCCCGATCCGTAACCACTATGCTACCAGAGTAGCATTACTTAACTAAGACATATATTAAACAGTTCTATTTTCACATTGCAAAGAATGGGAATGATAGAACACTTAATTGTGCTCATGTAGAATCTGTACAAATGGAGGCCTCTAACAAGTTCATGGAAAGATTCCATTATCTGTCTTTTAATACTATAGTTTTGTGAACCTTTTAAAGCCTACTTGCAGACCAAGAGGCAGTTGTCTGAACAGAAAGGGATACTACTGCATGACTTAAAATCAGGAAAAAGGTTTGTGTCCTCGTTGTATCCTTTTACCGTATGTATTCATTCAGCCTGTATGCTGGAGCAATAATCTGAGAAGCTGGACTGTATGAAGAACACAGCCTCAGAATGGGAAGAAGACTCATTATCATTATGAGATGATATATAACTTTGTTGGCTGAAGTTGGAAACGACTTGAAGCACTTACTGATGAAAATTAAAGTACATATAGCCTTTAGTATGGATTACACCTCAACAAACAGGCAACAAAAATCCTCACAACTAGACCAATAAGCAACATCATGATAAACAAAGAAGATATTGAAGTTGTCAAGGATTCCATTTTACTTTGGTCCACAATCTACACCCATGGTAATAGCAGCCAAGAAATCAGATGACAGAGTGCTTTGGGAAAACATGTTGCAAAAGACCTCTTTAAAGTGTTAAAAAGCAAAGATATCACTTTGAGGACTGAGGTGCACCTGAGCAAAGCCATACTGTCAATTGCCTCATTTGCATACAGAAGCTGGACAATGAATAAGACCGAAGAATTGATGTTTTTCAATTATGGTGTTGGTGAAGAATATTAAATATACTATGGACTGGCAGACAAATGAACAGATTAGTCTTGGAAGGACAACCAGAATGTTCTTTAGAAAGGAGGAGGTGAGACTTCCCAATAACAAGTACTATGGACATGTTATTGGGAAGGACCAGTCCCTAGTAAAGACATCATGCTTGGTACAGTATGGGGAAAAGGGAAAAATAGGGAGACATTCAACAAGATGGACTGACACAATGGGTGCAATAATGTGATCAAAAATAGGAAATGATTGCAAAGATGGGACAGGACAAGGCAGTAGTTCCTTCTGTTGTGCATAGGGTCACCATGAGTGGGAATGGACTAGGCAACTTGAAACAACTATTTTCACTATATGTATATTCAAAGCAACTTACTTCAAACATGTAATAACTAACTCACCAAGCACATCTTTCTAGATTCCCTTTATAGAAAGATAGGAAAATTGTAAAGTTCTTGGGAAAGGTATGTCCTTGGTGAAGTTCTCTTTTGGCTTTACCTATTCAATTCACAAACATTTATTCATTTCATCCTATTAACATGCCCCATAATACTACTCTTAATGCTCACAGGAAATTTATTTCTTTTCTATGTTAAGAGGTTTACTCACATAAAGGTTAGATTGTACACTTGGCATTTACCACAAAATGATTTCATTATCATTTCTGGTATCACCTTATCTAAGATAGTTTTTGTTGTTATTGGTATTTAAGTCGGTTCTGAGTCATAGTGACCTTGTATGAGGGTTTTCGAGGTTGTAAATCTTTCTGGGAGCAGAAAGACTCATTTCTCCTGGCTGTTGGGTGCGAACCACCAACCTTGTGGTTAGCACTCCAGTACTTATTCTAGTCACAGCGCTTCTTAGATCATTTGAAAATTAAAAACTAAAAAGTAATTTGTTTGTTGTCAATATTTTGGGTATAAACATGCTTTGATTTCTTTGATTTTTGCAACAGTACATGGCTTAAAACTTATGGTTTTCTGTGTAAGGCTGTTTACAAAGGTAAAATAAATAAACCTATTTAGAGAAAGTGATCACTCTTCCTTGGCTCCTATAAAACTCAAAAGCTTTCTAGGGAAAAGGTGGAGATGGCATGGAAAGATCTGCTCCAGGCGAAGAATGCAGCTCAACTCAATTTACAGGGTTTAGTACCTTAAAAAGCCTGCTACAGGAACATGGGAGGGCCACATACCCAAACAGTGAGTGACTAACACCTATCAGACTCTTACAGATCACCTGGTTATCTTTGTTTAGTTCACATTACTCATTTCTCACTAAATTCTTTTGGTGAAGGACGCTTCAGAAATATCCCTCACTAGAAAAGCAGACCAAGTGTGCGTTCTTCACCCATTCAAGATTCTTCAAGAGGTAAGGACTTATAGGGGACCATTCACAGGACCTGTTGGAGGTTTTTAAAACGGTACGCATCAAAATTTCAGCATTGAATGTCTAATATTTTTAGATTGAACTAGGTTCCGTGAATACAATAATGATTCCTAAGGGACTCAGGAGTCTATTAGAGAGGCAGAAAACCACGCTAAAGCAACCAATGGAACAATAGAATGCAAGCAATATTTTGGAAAGTAGAGGAAAAAGTGATTTTGAGAGAGAAAATGAGAATTTGGAGTGGTGGGTACTTAAGTGGCTTCCCTTCCCAAAGGTTTCAGATCTAGGGTTTGCCTAGCACCCCGCGGGCATACTTAACATTTTAATCACGTCTTCGCCCCCACCCTCCGAATTCCTTTTCCGCGGCGGACCCGCCGGGTACTCCTTCCAGGCGGCCCAGCTTATCACCCCTAGCCCGGCCACTTCCCGGCTGCGGCCAGACGAGTCTCCCAAAGTTTCCTGTGACGCCGCCGTCAGTCTCCAGTCCCATCCAGCCCTCGCTCCCACTCTGGCAGCTCAGGACACCGACTTCAGAGGAGCGGGTTACCGAGGCACTAGAATAGCTCCAACGGGCGGACGTCGGAACCCCACCCGACGCAGAAGCGAGCTCAGAGGGCGGTGGTCACCACTCCGAGCCTTTGCTCATCGCTCCCGCGGCCCCCGTCTTTGCTCGCGCCCACCCGGCTGAGAGCCTGATTCCCGCCCACTCCGGGGTCCAGGCCAATCGGCCGCGCCTCGCCTCCTGGGAGGTGGTGAGGAGGGGACGTGGGGGCCGGGCGTTAGCGCCCGCCTTCCGCCTGCATCCATTGGCTGTGGCCACTAGAGTGCCCGGAGACCGGAGTGCAGCCGGATTGGCTGCAGAGAATAGTGACAGCAGCGGCTATTGGCTGTGGCGGCCTCCGTGACGCGGGGTGGCGACTGGCTCCCGTGTCTGAGGGGCTCCTGCTTGTCAGGTTCTAGGTAGGTACATTTCGCGCTGCTTGTGGCAGGCGCTGTTGCCGCGGGCAATGTTGGGAGAGGGGGTAAGAGAAGGGAGGGCAAGCTGAAAGCAGGGGCAATACCCCGTCCGCAGGGGGGCGCCCGGGATTCGGCCCAGGCGGCGACGACTGCGCGGAGGATTCTTCCTCTACGCTCAGCCATCCCCCCTCCCATCCTAGGCTGCGGGGTCGCCCGCCCACCCCTCCCGCCCTCAGCGGAACATTCCTGATTCGGGTTTGGGCCGGGCTGCACACCCGGCCCCGGGAGGCCCGCCCCTCCCACCAGCCTGGGACCCGGAGGCTAAGGGGGCGGGTGCCGGCGCGAACGGGCGGTGGCGGGTGGAGTGGCCCCGCCCCGTCGTGGGATCGGGGTGCTGCGGGATGTGTGGCAGTGTATGGGATGTTGTGGGGACATCCTATCACACCCGCATCTGCTTTACTTCGCGTACACCGCCTTCCTGTTGGGACGGACACCCCCAACCCGAGCTGTTCTTCTAATCCATTCCCACCTCTGGGTCCTGTGATCTCCCAGGACACTTCATTAGTACTCTTGAGTGCACCTCCCATTTGCCAAGTTCATCTGTTTTAACTCTACACCTCCATCTACCTTCCAGTGTGGCCATTGGTGTCCAGAGATGTGTAAATTTAGTAGAGTGGGGTTCGAAAGTGGAGGGACAATTTCTGCTTGGTTCTATCTTTGCCATTTTGGACTGGGGAAGCGTTTTGAGGCTTTAAATCAACCTTCTGGTTTGAAATTTCCCTTAGGATCAACTTTCTGAAACAGTCTACTTAAGTTGGTGTTGTTGGGGCTAGTGTACTTCATTTGCAATTTAAGGAGTTTCCTATAAAGGGTTTGCTTTTTTTACTTTATACAATTGTGAATTTCATATCTAGTACTTTGGAATACAAAATTGAGACTTTGTTAAGGCTGGTAACTGTATTTTCGTGTTGTATACCTTATGGTTAAAAATAACGAAGTTTAAATATGTTTTTATTCAGAAGCAGCATCATATAGCGATTTTAAAAAAGCAGCAGCGTAAAACTTCTGTAAAAGTGAAGTACTAAAATCCTTTTTCCCCAAACAGTTTAAGATATTTTCTCAGATGGAATTACCATACATAACACTGTAGCAATCAAACCAGTAAGGAGATAAACCAAAACTATTTTCATGATCGAAGACTAGAACATACTTTTCAACTTATGAAACAGAAACAGAATGAAAAAAAATGTACTGCAAAATAAAGTTACTTCACTATTGCCTTGTAGTCCTAATAAGCCTATGTGGACTTTAGAAAGACAGATTTGTGAGAGCCACATGTTTGTCAGTGTGAAGAATGCAAAAGACAGGAGGGTGAGTGTATTTTTTGTAATCTTGGAAATAATTTCTACTAGAACTGAGAGTCTGTTAAAAAGAATATATTGTTAGTACCGTTGAGTCTGTTCCGACCCACAGAGACCCTGTATAGTGTTTCTGAGGAGCAGCTGGTGCTTTTGAACCACCAACCTTGCAGTTCAAATGGATCTTGCAGTCTAGTGTGTATCCTACAGCGTCATACCACATGGGCATATTTTTAAACTTTAAAAAATTTTCGTACATGAAAGACTTGTGCAGATCTGTTTCTCTTCTGCCAGATGGTTAACAGCATTAACCTTCGGCACTATTTCCAAGGTTGATGATGCCAGTGGTTGGTTGTTGCGTGCTCTTTGAGTCTCATAAACATCCTATATAGGGTTTCCCAGGCTGTAATATTTACCATAGCAGAAAGCCTCTTCTTTCTTCCGAGGAACAACTGGTGGATTCAAACTGCTGACCTTGCAATTAGCAGGCCAACACTAACCCACTAAGCTAGATAAATCAATTTCACTTCATCTTCAACTGTTAGGTAGCTAATGTACCCGGTCTATGAACATTTCAAATTTCCCTGTTTTTTTCTCTCCCAGCATTTTATATGAAACATTTAAATTATGCAGCCAAGTTAAAATATATAGTGAGTGTCCACCACGTGGGCAGCAATAGTCTTTTTGTGAGAGTGGTTATATAAATACATATTAGAGAACACAACAACTGAAATGGTCAAGTTTGAAAACCAACATGAATATATTTCTTACTGGAGTATTGTAAGGTGCTTATTTCTGTGGAGTCCTGGTGTGGCACTGTGGGTTAATGTGGTGGTTGGTGGTTATCTGCAGTGGAGTTGGTTCTGACTCATAGCTACCCTGCATAGAGTTTCTGAGGCTGTAAATATTTAAGGGAGCAGAAAACCTCATCTTTCTCGCGTGGAACAGCTGGTAGTTTCAAAACGCTGACATTGTGGTTCACATCCCAATTCTTAACCACTACACTACCAGAGCTCCTTGTGGGTTAATGTGCTGGATTGCAAAGTCGGTTTGAACCACAAGGTTGGTGATTCAAGCTTACCAGCTGCTCCTTGGAAACCCTATAGAGGGTCACTATGAATCGGAACCAACTCAACAGCACTTAACAACAGCAATAACATATTGTAATAGTGCTTCTGCAAATGATAACAATTAAGTTTCATGAGGCTATAACGAAGCAATCTGGTGAGTGAGAAAGAAGGCATCATCTTTATACACTAAGACCCATATGATAAATTGCATTTTGATAATCAGAAAAAAGGAAATTAATGAACTTATTAAACAGATAAAAGTTTTGTTTTAAAATTGGACTCCTGTGTGAATAGATTGTAGTTTCATACTGAGTGAGCATTCTTCCTTTGGAGAGAGGCACAAGGCACTATAATTATTCAATATTTTGGTAACAGTTAGATCAATCTGTTTTTTTTTTTAAACTAGAGACTGAACTTATTTATCAACAGAGAAGTTAGTTGATAGGACTGAAAACTATATTAGGCATTGTCTCTGTGTGGATAAGGAATATTTTTATGAAGTGCTGTTGAGTCTAGTCTGTTATGACTCTCAACAACCCTGTGTAGGGTTTCTCAGGTTGTAAATCTTTATGGAATCAGAAAGTCTCATCTCATGTTAATATAGAACTTTGATTTTTAATAAAGGAATAAGTAGAAATGAGTATGAATTCACAAATGTATCTATTTTAAAAATTTCAATACATAGGAAATTCTTGCACTGTAGTTTGAACCCTGCTTTTAAGGCTTGTTGTTGTTAAGTGTCGTTGAGTCAACTCTGACCTATAGCGATCCTTTATAGGGTTTCCAAGGAGCAGCTGGTGAGCTTGAACTGCCGACCTTGCAGTTCAAACAGTCTGGCACATTAACCCATAGGGCCATTCTTATTCATCTCATTACATAATTTATTTATTAAATAATAAAATTAAAAGCTATATCTCACAATTTATAGCTCTCTGAATTGCTTCATTATAAATTATCCATACCTCATTTGTCTGTAGCACGCTTGAATGGTTAACCTAACGTGCTGTTGAGATGTTAAAGAGAACAAGTAGGTCATAGCTTTGGAACTTTAATGGTAGCTCTAAATCTTGAGGATTTGGTTAAATCAGAAAGATGTTTAGTTAGTTTAAAAAAAAAATTATTTTTTAAGCAAAGTTCCAGTTTTTGCCTCTTACCTTTCTTCCTCCTTTCCTTTTCTGTTTTTATTTTGACTTGTTTTAAGTGTCATCGAGTGGGTTCCGACTCATAGCAACCCAGTAGAGGGTTTCCAAGGAGCATCTGGTGAGTTTGAACTGCCAACCCTGTGCTTCAAACTGATCCTGCAGTCCTGTGCTTATTCTACAGTGCCACACCGGAAGTCTGCTTAAAGTTAAATGCTTTAAAATCAATTTAGAAGAAAATAAAAGTAAAAATTCCATCGTAACAAGTTTATGCTTTGGGAAATAGAAACTTCAGTTTATTCTGTAATACTCTTCTGGTTATTGGATCTTCATGTTGGGAAATTTGCAAATGAATCTGAATTTGCAAGAGATTCTGAACTTGAGGCTCAGTTACCCTATATTAGCAGAAAAACTCCTGCTTGGGAAAGCTCAAAAGACTAGATAGATGGATGACAAGG